CCGAGCAGGGAGCCTGATGCGGGACTTGATCCAGGGACTCCAGGATCATGACCTGAGCCGAAGGCAGTCGCTTAACCAACTGAGCCACCCAGGCGCCCTCTGTTCAGTTTCTAACATTTCTCTTTGTAAAAAATTCTTAGCATTTGTTGAGTGAATCTGTCCATTTCTCACTTGTGTGACCACTGTGTGCTAAGATCTTTTTGAGGCATTTGGACTCCACCATGAACTGCTCAGCTTAAGCTTCCTGCTTTCCTGAGACATTCCCTGTAGTGGGGAGACTTGTGCACTAAATAAGCAGTTAACTGGTAAATAAACATGAACTCTTAAGTAGTCAATGCCATAAAGGAAATAAAAGGAGGATAAGATAGATTGGGTAACTACTTCAGATAATTTGAAAGCACCAAAAGTTTAAAATATTGTATAAATGCAAAGTGGTATTTTCCAGATGCTGTTTTTAAATGGACATGGTAAATACCTTGACACTGACCCACTTTTATTGTTCTCTTCCAGTTTGTGAAGTGTGGCTATGCAGGCTCTAACTTTCCAGAACACATCTTCCCAGCTTTGGTTGGAAGACCTATTATCAGATCAACCACCAAAGTGGGAAACATTGAAATCAAGGTAATATTTTATTTATTGATAAATGAGGATCAAAACTTGTGGGGTGTTCTTTGAATTAAGTAGTTTTAAGATCTGATACCATGAAGAGCAAAGAGGCAGAATATCTTATATTTTTAATTTATATCAACACTTGAAGACACAAAAACTGAAATGCCATTACTCTCTGAATGGAGTAAAACTCTTATTAATATTTTTATATTGATGTGAATATTGTATTAGAGACTTAAAGCCCTTATGACATATAATGTTTAAAAGAAATAAGCCTGATACTTTTATGTCTTTCAGTTCCATATATTTTTCATTACATGTTAGTGTCTATTTGGGACCTAAGACTTTTCCTTCCTTCTCATGCCCTGATCGTCCTACTTTTAATGTAACTAGTCAGGAAAACACAGGTTATAAATCTCATTGGTTCCTTTTTTCACTAATATAGTGACTGATTTCCATAATGTGCAGGAAGAAGCAGTGCAAGTCTTGAGTTGGCCTTGCATTATTTATCTTGCTGTAAGGAGAGAGGAAGAAGGTTGTCATTGCCTACTCACTGTACTTAACATGAGAGACTGGACATTAAGGATGACAGATTTTTCTCCGTATTAAAGGAATTGGAAATCAAGTGGGAATTACGATATTTTAAAAGAAAAAAATAGAATAATCAAAAGGACAGTGGTCACCAGTTGACTTAAATTCTTAAGGTGGCCTAGGGATCAGATTATTAAAAATGCAGTCAAATTGAGGGGCCCTTTTATTGAATTATTTGTGAACAAGCTAGCATTGTTGGTCCTATCTGGATAGTCTTTGGCAGAACTTCAGTTAGATTATGAGTCATTTGAAATACGAGTTAAGTGTACCTCTTTGGGATATTTGTTTGAGATATCTAGGAAGGTAGTAATAGCTAGGAGATATTTGCTACTTGGTAGCTCTCTGCTCTTGGTACTAGAGAATTGAGTTACACAATGAATACAAATGCCAACTGAAACTGAGGTTCTGGGTTAAATTTTTAAAGACTTAAGGTAGTGAATGATTCTGGCCTCTGTTTTGTTATTTTACAATCAAATGGGACATTCGGTATGATAATTTTTTTTTCAAGGTCTTTTGGGAAATTTTGGGGATACCTTATTCTCTTTTTGTGAATGCCTTTCATTCTGATTGAATTTAATCTTAAATGAACGACTTAAAATTTAGCCGATACTTGTGATAAGGACAGTCACACTTTTCAGTCAGTATCAGGCTTTTAAAGAATGTCTCTTTTTTATATACTTTATGGATAATAACATTTTTGAGGTGTACAGATACATCATATATAACCATTTTATTCCCTAACATGGCACAAATGATTACATATCTTTTCACTCCCACTGTCTTGCTTTTTAAGGCCAAGTGATGGAAATGAAACTAGTCTATATCCTAAGACATTTTTGCTAAGGAATTCCCCAGTAGCATTTGCTTGTATGGTTTGTCATTCTGTGTTCTGTTGGCTCAGTTCTGTTCAATCTGCTCAATCTTTTAAGTCTCTCTAGTTAATTTGTTCTTCCAGTAGAAAATAGTAAAAGAAATCTGTGTCAAATTTAACTTGACTACTAGAGCTTAGAAAAAAACCACTCTAAACTCACCCTCTACCTACTCAGCTAGACCTTTTCTGTTATTTAATTTCCTTAATTAAGGTTCTTAAATTCAGTAATGAATTAAAGAAACTTGACTTTTTGGAATTCCTATGCCTAGTGGATTGACTTATACTTTTGTGTTTTGTTAGCTGAAATGTGATAGACTAAAAACTGGAAATTTAAATTGTTTAATGAGTTAATTTTCATTCAGGAGTAATAACTGTCCATGTTAATTTGGCCCTAATTATTAACTCCGTAAAATATAGTACTGCATCTGACCTCTACCTAATTTGTCTCTATTGCTTGTATGTTTAAAAATTTCAGTGAGGATTTTATTTAGGCCTTTTCTGACTCTTACTTCTACCTTCTCTTTCTTCACCTTTCTTGACCTGTTGAAGTAGAATAACAAAAAGATGGTAAGTGAGGTTACACACATGCTCTCTGTTTGTTTTCCACTTTTGCTTGATGGAACAGTAGTTGTTGTTTTGTGTCCCTGTAGTATTGGGGAGGGGGGCAATTCCATATTTTAATTTTAAGTACTTTGATTTTTAACCTTTTTCATTGCTTCAATTTGGTAGCAACTAATTAAGTCCTATACTTTCCTGATTGCATACAATGGACCAGACCAGAACTAATTACTAACACAGTTTTGAATTGTTTTCCTTGTGTTTCTTGTAGATGAATGTTATAATTAAAATGGAATGTGGTGTGCATAATATTAGAAACCAAGTAGCTTTATTTAGAATATGTGTGATCCAGAGAATTGGGGTGAAGTTGTTACATTTGGACAAATCAGTTTTATTGATCAATGTTAAATTGAACATTACCTATCATAGTCTGTAGGTATTTGCATCCAGTTGGGTAGCAAATGTGTAATAAACTGAGTAAAACTTTAATATGCCAATAACTATAGATAGTAAAAAAAGAGGAAAAGAGATTGACTTGTTTCCTATACCATTTTTATTGATGAGCAGATTTTTACAACATTATCTGAGGATAAATAAGAAAAATGTGAAAGTCTTATAAGACTTTTCCATAAACAGCAGATCTTCCCCCTAAATAAATACCATTGTGTGGCCCCTTTTTCTTTTGAACTAAAGTGCGGGGCACATCCCAGACAATTCACTCTTCTTTATATTTTTCTGTGACAGTCCTTAAGTGCTTCAGTAGTAGGTATTTTCAGGTTTGTGTGTTTTTGATACTATTTATAAGCAGTTTTGACAAAGGTGAGGCATTTCTAGTGATTTATATTTTAACTAGTAACAGTGTCTTTGTGGAGTTTTCTTTTGGATAAATGAAAACATTTAAATCTGGAAATTCCTGTATTTATACTAAATAAAAGATCATGCATTAGTCTTAAAATCTTAAGGAGATTGAGTGTATACTTTCAGAGAACAGTGTAGGCTTTATTAACAAACTTTTTTAATGGAATTTCCTTCTTAGGGATTTAATTGTGGTTTTAAAGTATGTTTACTCTGTTTTCCAATTTGAGGTGACATTGTTCAGAATAATTCTTGGCAAATATCTACACTGCCTGCTTTTCATAAAAGATAAATGCCTTTGAAAGAGCATCTCAGACAGTTACTGTGATTTCTCATTCTGTTAGGTACCAGGTGGTAGTTCAGGCTTGAAGTCCAGGGATGAGGTGGGTGGTAAAAATCTAAGGTTCTGAGGTATGAGGGCAAGTTACATAAAGCTCTTGGCATTTGTAGTTTTGGGAAGTTGAAATGTTCTAGGGACGATTATATGTTTTATGATTTTTTAAATTAAAATTTTAGATACAAATTTTTTAATTAGGTGCTGAAGCTACTTGAGAATATTTGCACTAATTTCATAGGTTAATACCTGTTTTCCATTTTAACTGTCCTTCCTCTTTGTTCAGAGGGATTGTAAAATATTCAGTGCCAGATGTTTCTTTCAGTTTATTCTTTATAGTATGAATGCTCTCGAAGTAGATAGATGAGGCTTTTATTTTGAGTTGGTATTGGGTCAGACATATGTAAGTCCCTATTCTTGCATGGAAATAAAAGTAAATATTCTGATGAAATCAGATCAGACTTATTATAAATTTGATGAACTATAGTTGTGAATGTATATTGATTATATAAGCCATTTAATTATCTAATTTATTAACTTTGTACAACACATAGAATGATACATTCTAGAGGAAAGTAAGTAACAAAATTGTGTTTTGTATTTGTTAATGGTTAAAAGTAATGTATGTTCTTACAGGTATAGATTCCCCCCTAACTTTTTATTAAATGTTTAGAACGTATAGCAAAGAACGAATTTTACAGTGAAACCCATACACCCATCACCTAGATTCTGACATTAATATTTACTCTACTGACATATTACATATTTATTTATTCATCCCTCCATTAGTCTATCTCGTTTTTTGGTGTATTTCAAAGTATCAATGTACTTCTCCTAAAGTAATTCAACATATGCATGTCATTGACTAGAATTTACAGATGCAGATTTTTAATTTTCCATTTTCCTATCAGATGATTTTAAACAGTTAATATTTAAGAAATTTGAATATTTAAGTTATGGTAAATTTATAAGAAATTAGTTGCAACAGAGAAGTTTTCGTGAACGTTTCTGGCATCTGCTTTAACTTTGTTTTTCCTTTTTGTTGTTGCTTTCAGTGGATTTTCCAGAAATCTTTTTTTGAGCCCTCACCCTGGTTTACCTCTGATCTTTTTTTAAATTGTTATTTTTAAAAGTTTTAAACTCATATATATTTAAACCTTATTTTGAGACATTTTATGTTAATGTTCTCATTTCCTCATGTTTTAGATTTATGGTATTATAGCAAACAGTAGCTATTTCTGATAGCTTTTTTAAGTTGAATTTATCAGTATATGTAGAAATCAGGATTATTTAATATCTTGACTAGCTGACTTTTAAAATAAGCTTAAATTCTGTGACATCATTAGCCTTATTATACATACAAAATTTGACTTTTCAAATGTGGGTCATCTTAAGTATGCTCTCCTTGGAGACAAGACTTGTGAGTACTCTGCTTCTTGTGTGCTAGCATAGTTTTCCAGTATTATACTTTAAGGTTGGAAATGTTGCTCATGAGCTAATTTTTAAAAATTGTTTCCCTGTGTTTTAATTTTTGATATCTCTACAAATTTCCATTGATCTTGGTGAGGCATATATAGAGACTTAATTTCAATTCTGAGGCATGTGCAGGTAGAGATTTGTGAAATTTGCAAGTTATGTGATGCATATCTGCATTATTACAATATAATAAAGAATCATTTAATTTTTAACTTCTTTCATTATGCTTTGTAGTACATTAAGACGTATCATTTACACTTACCATTTCAATATTTAGTACAAAGAACTGTGCTGCATGCATTGAGCATTTTTCTACAAGATTTTTTCCCTGATGTGCTATTTCACATATCACAGGCCTTATTTTTTGAACATTTGAGCAAAAGAAACAGATGAAACCTCATACAAAACCCTCCAAAATATGAAAATGTGGGGTTTATTTGTGCTAATGCTCTTCTTTTGGAAACATTTGTATTAAAGGTAAGGTCCATTTATTGATTTAACCCACGTTGTACATAAGAATTTTTATTATTCATGATTAAACTTTCCAAGGCATTGTTCTTGAAAGAAAAGATTTTTAAAACTTGTGGAATGAAGAACTTTATCTGAAAGTGCCAGAAAAATTAAAATTAAATTATTCCCAAGTTTTCCAAAATATCATGAGAATGTAATTTTCTGAAGATATTTTATGCAAAAATTTGGCCTAAAGCCTTGATATTATAATTTTCTAGGATCTTATGGTCGGTGATGAAGCAAGTGAATTACGCTCAATGTTAGAAGTTAACTACCCTATGGAAAATGGCATAGTACGAAATTGGGATGACATGAAACACCTGTGGGATTATACATTTGGACCAGAGAAACTTAACATAGATACCAGAAATTGTAAAATCTTACTCACAGAACCTCCCATGAACCCAACCAAAAACAGAGAGAAGATCGTAGAGGTAAGTGTTTAAATGGGATGTGTATGTATGTGTTTCTGTGATGAGACATTATAGCAGATGTTCTTTCTTTTACCATTGTTAAGGATAAAAGGAATGAAAATAATTGTTCCCCCCCCCATCCTATTTACTGAGCACCTAACTAGTCATTATTTCTAAATAGGCTATATCAGTAAACAAAACCAAGTCCTGCTGCCGTGGAACTTATTTTTCTGGCAGGTGACACCCTCCCCCCACCCCCACCCCACCCCTGCCACCCACAAAGTGAGTTAATTGAATGGTTTGTTAGAAGATAATAGATGCTAAAGAGGGGAAAAGAGCAGGTTAAGGGGGGTGAAGGGGTTATATTTTTCATAGGGTGTGAGAGTAGGCTTCTGAGAGAAGGTGATATTTAAAGAATAAGGGACTCAGCCAGGATATGTGGGGGAAAAGCATTCCAGACAAAGGAAGTAGCTAGGCAGTGTGAAGGTCTTAAAATGGGAACAAGCCTGGTGTATTAGAGAGTCAGCAAGGAAGCCAGTACGGGAGAGCAACAGGGGATGAGGTCAGGGAAATAATAGGACAGGATGATCTAGGGCCTTGAAGGCCCTTGAAGAGAATTATTCTTTTACTCTGAGCGAAATGTCCCTTCTGTGTTAGGGACATGCTCCAGTTTAGGTTTCTGTGGCCGCTGTGTTGTGAGTAGACCATAAGGAGGCAAAGGTGGAAGAGAGACCAGTTTGAAGACTTTCAATTATCTAGGCAAAAGATGATGATGGTTAGGATTAGGGGTAATAGCAGCAGAAGTAAAGAGAAGTGGCCAGACTGAATCTGTTTTGAAGGTAGGGTCAAAGCATTTTGTAATGCATTAAATATGGGTAACAGAGGGGAGAGTCAGGGATGACTCCAAAGGTTGTGGCTTGGGCACCTGGAGGATGACATTACCATCAACTGAGATGGGAAAAGACTGAGATAAGTAGAACAGGATTTGAGGGGAGTGGATCAGGAGTTCAGTTTTGGACATGGTAGGCCCTCATTAGACATCCAGTCAAAAATGTCAGGGAGATAGAGGTGTCCCTCACTTTTCAAAAGTTCATGTTATGCCACTTCACTTTTACCAAAGACCTACATTAGTACCTGTTTTCACTAACTGAAAGAAGCCCGAAGAGGATTTTCACCTGTATGAATAAAGGGGGGAAGCGAAAATTGCATTCAGCATTTGTTTTGCAGCGAGCTAATGTTAGAGGCGGCGTGCACCCAGACCAGCAAGAGTGGCCCCGCCAAACTCTTACCCCGGAACTACACTCAGCATCAAGGCACCATAGCTTTGAACTGTGTGAGCATCGGTGCTTTATCTCGTTTTATTTTGTGCATCCATTAGCAAGTTGTGTCCAAGAAAAGCCTAAGAGAGGTTATTTTTGGGGTTTGGGAACACTGAGTTTTCCATGTAAACTAATGGTAACTGCTTCTTTGATTTACAACATTTGAGCTTTACCTAAGATTTCCATATGAATGCTCTACTTTTCAGATAGCAGGGAAACCTGTAAAAGATCAAGTTCAGGAGAAAAGTCTGAGGCTGGAGATAGAAACTTGGGAGTCATCAGGATATAGATAATCAGTTCACCAGGAAAATGGGAGCAGGCAGTGGTGAGAAGGCCAAGGACCAGGGAGGTGGGAGTTAGCGAGAGGAGCTTGAAGGGCTCTAAGGGAAGCAGGTACGGAGAGCAAGAAGTCTGCCTTCTTCATAGTTTAGATAAGTAACTTTTCAAGGTTCTCGTTCATTATATTTTGTTTTATATGAGGTAGGAACTGTATGTCTTTGTCTCTTGTTGTATATGAGGTAAAAACTTAGAATAATTTTTTCTGTCTTAGTAGCTTTGCAGATACTACTTAACGTAAATAATTCTGTTTTACTCTATGACCATATTTAGGTGTTGGTGGAAATTTTGGAAGGATTTTAGAAAAGATTGTTGCTAGACAGTATTTTTTAATTCTGGATTAAAACTTAAGTTTTATGTTAAGTGTTTTAAAAATTTAAGATCCTGGTTTTAGTTACAAAATCCATGTCATTCCTTATGGCTTATATCTTAACTATTTCCTGCTCCAGAGCAGCCCTAGAGCTGTGAAACATGGCCCTTGTTATATTAGTTCATATTTTAGTTGCAATTTGTTCTTTCTAAATGACTTATAACTACTAATACTTTGTGATGGGTAAGTAGTCATTTGTAATGGTATTTATTTTTAGCAGTGCATTGTAAAATCAGAGTAGAGGTACTTTTGTATTAAACCAAAAGGTTTCTCCTACACTTGGAAACCTCTTTAGGAAAGCAACACAATGTCAGAATGAAAACCAAGTTTCCTTTCAGATGAAAAGTTAGGGAGATGACATTATACCTGGGTGCCTCTTCCACTAGCCAGCTATTTGACTAGGACATGTTTTTTTTTTTTTTTTTAATCTGCTAGAATGACAAGAATTGTTCTCATGTGCTATAAGGTCCCACCTTATTTTAATACTCTTTTTTACGTGCGGGTGCAAATTTGGCTGTGACTGATAATGCCCTACTTTAATCTCATCCAGAAAGTTGATTTAGTACTACTGTTACTTTCTAATTATCTTACAAATAAAAACAAATTCTCATGGACTTTCAAGATGACAAACGCAAATACAGCTTCACTCTTCTGTTTTCTCCCCTGTGGAGGGGAAATAAAGGATGATGGAATAGAATACTGGGTAGAATATCTAGTTGCTTAATTGATGAATATGTGTTTCAGAGTAATAACATTTAAATCCTATGTAATTCTCATTGTGATCAGTTACGACATTTCTAGGTGTCTAGATTTACAGAGTGGTAGTCAGCCCTGCCAGTCAAGGAGTGCTCACTGTAGATGACAGAACAAGTCCTACAGGATGTTCCCAGCCCACCTGGACTACAGAGAATGAGCATGGTTGTGAATAGGGAGGGCACAAGGAGACTCCTCCCTTCAGTGTAGCTCAGCTGGGAGCTGAGAGCAGCGCCACAGCTGGGGCTCAAGCTGGAAGGGTGGGCAGAACAGCTAGGCAGTTTCTCTATCTGCCAGCATTCAGGAATTACTGCACACATTTTTGTCTTCCTGCCCTGCTGGTTTACTACTTTCTTTCTTTCTTTTTTCTTTTTTTTAACTGTTGGAGGTAGAACTCCAGTCTTGGTGCAGGTTAGGGGAGAGGGGCCAGCAGTTAAGCAATTTCTGTAGTTTGTCCTTGAATTAAAAGATATTTTCATTAAGGGACATCATTAAGAAAGGCTTGTTCAAATGCAGAAATCTTTCTTCCACTTTAGCCATTAACTAAAACACTCAAAAATCTTTGCTTTGTAGCACTTACAAAATACTTGAGGACTCTATATATCCAAAAATCTCTTCCCTACAATAGAGCTCTGTGACAGCTGAGGAGAATGAAGGACTCTCTTAGGTCCCTTTTGATTCTATTTTGGCAACTAATCTACTCTGTGACCATCAAGAAAGCATAAAAATATTTACTATGTAACTTCTAAATACCAGCATTTCTTTCTTTCCTTTTGCATTTTCAGGTAATGTTTGAAACTTACCAGTTTTCTGGCGTGTATGTAGCTATCCAGGCAGTTCTGACTTTGTATGCTCAAGGTAGGTGAAACTTAACTTTTAGAATAATCAATTCAGCAGACATTAAGTCCATTTTATTTGAGTTTTCAATAGTTGGAAATCCCAGAAAAGCACAGTATTTATATATTTATTTAAATATTTTCAAATATTTATTCAAATATTTTCATAATTTCTAAAATTTGTAAAATATCACATATATTTTTATTTCCTTCATTAAGCAATGAAGGACTTAAGGTAAAAAGAGAACTCAATTTTTAAGACGTAGGAGGTTCCCTCTTAGACTATTTTAAAGTAATTTTTTATGCAGTGAAGAATGAACATGGAATTTGTCCTTAGAATTGTCAGAGTTGGGGCACCTGGGTGGCTCAGTCGGTTAAGCATCTGCCTTTGGCTTAGGTCATGATCCCAGGGTCCTGGGATCAAGTCCTGCATTGCGCTCCCTGCTCAGCGGGGAGTCTGCTTCTCCCTCTGCCTGCCGCTCGCCCTGTTTGTGCTCTTTCCCTCGCTCACTGTCTCTCTCTCAAATAAATAAAATCTTAAAAAAAATTTTAAAAGAATTGGCAGAGTTAAAAAAAAATACATAGAAGTCCAAAAAGGTTAGTATAAAATCACGCTTGTATACATAGTAGAGGAGAAGGTAGACATTTGGAAGTGCCTTCCTAACTTTTATGTTTTGTTGGTGCTGCCATTAGTAACTGCCTCCCTTTCTATTGAGAATAAAAATTGGCCGTGTGGGGAGAGCTCTTTCTATTCTGACTGTCTTATTAAGAGAATTTATGGGGCTGTCAGATATGTGCCACACAGCCTGTTAGGCACTTGAAATGTGAAGATTCCCTCAAAACATTTAGAGTCTATTCGGGAAAAAGATACAGAAGCAGATAATTTTGACCCAGCATGGCAGAGAAGGTTTCTGAAGGAGGTGACACCTGAGCTAAGTCTTCAGCCTTAGTAGTTAGCTGTGTGTATGACATAGTACTTAGAAAACTCACTTTAATACTGTGGTGACCCATCTAATTCTAAACATGGATTAGTAAAAATCACCTTGTAAAAATATACATTGACTCATTAAATTGTCTTCAGTACTACGTATAGATACTTAGGAAATACCTGGGGGAACTAAATTTTCAAAGAAGCTTTGTTCATTCACCGAGTGGAATGTACCTTGTACTGTGTTTAGTGCAGAGGATATGGCAGTGAGTAAGCTAGACGTGGTCTTCTTGACCTTAAGGTGATTACATTCCAGCTGTGAATAATTTTCCTTTGAAGAAGGAATTAAAAATCACTTGTTACTTTGCAAGGAGTGTTTACCTGCACCGAGGTAATTTTATTTCATTTTTAGAAATTATTTTAGAAAATACTTTGGAAAAAATAGACATTAAAAGTTTGGAATCTAAGCTTTGAAACTGGTAATAATGATTTTGTTTAGGTGGTAAGGATGGACTGTTCTGTTGAAGTGAATTTTTGTTTAAATTGTATTTGAATAAAACTGACCTTAATGGATTTTTCTAGCAGTATTCATACATTTATTTTCATCCAGTGAGAAGATAACCCTCTTTTAATTCCCGATATTTAGTCATTTTTTGTTTAACTGTTGAATCTTTAATTTTGAGAAATGATAGTCCAGTAAAGATCAAAAGAACTCTGACCCACCGTAAAATTCTCCTTCTAAACAAGGTGGCTAGGGCTAGGTAGGAAGCTAGTTAAAGGTAGGAAGAAGCATTCGGAGCCATGGAAGGGTTGTGAATAGGAGAAGTGACAACGGTGAGTTAGGAAGCTATGTTTGCCTGCATGCCACAGACAGGATTGAAGGGAATAACTGGAATTAGGGAATCTGGAGGTTAGAGTTGTCAGGAAAGGTGTAAATGGAAAGGTATGAATTCGATTGAATCTTAAAGAATCCATAGGAATCGAAGTGGAAAGAATGGATACTCCAGTGACAAAATGGTATGGCACTGGAAATGGGTCAAATGTGTACAGGGAAAGGCTAGTCTGTAACCTGGTGGGAGTGGGAGAAAATAAGCTGCAGTTGGATGGGAAGGTCTGTTTGGAAAATAAAATGTCGATCCCGGCTTCAGTTGGTATTACTGGGAGTGTTTTTGAATTAATGATGTGGATTCCTCTTTTTTTGCAATGAAATGTTTCTTGTTGAAAGGAATGCAGCATTAAAAGGCAGTAAATGATTTTTATGAAGCTTTTTATGAAGATTTATATACACCATCAATCATGGAAAGACATTATGTCAGCTTCAAAAGGAGGTAGATTGAATAAATGTATCAAAGATAAATCATTATGATGAAATACTGTAGTGCATTCAAGTTTGTATTAAGAAAGGGAGAGAGCCTATTCAGGGATGTGAAAATGATAAAATAATGGTTAAGAAAGTTACAGACATTGCGTATTCTATAAGGTTAAAAAATTTTTTTGGTTAAAACATTATTAGACTTGGGGGCTGGGAGGGATGGGGTGGCTGGGTGATAGACACTGGGGAGGGTATGTGCTATGGTGAGCGCTGTGAATTGTGTAAGACTGTTGAATCACAGATCTGTACCTCTGGAACAAATAATACATTATATGTTAAAAAAAAAAGATAGGAGAAGAATGGGGGTGGAAATAGGAGGGGGAGACAAACCATGAGAGATGATGGACTCTGAAAAACAAACAGGGTTCTAGAGGGGAGGGGGGTGGGGGGATGGGTTAGCCTGGTGACGGGTGTTAAAGAGGGCCGGTTCTGCGTGGAGCACTGGGTGTTACATGCAAACAATGAATCATGGAACACTATGTCAAAAACTAATGAGGTAATGTATGGTGATTAACATAATAATAAAAAAACATTATTAGACTATTAACTGTTACAAAACTTGAGTTCGAAAAAGTTTTGTTTTAATTAACCCTAGTGCAGAAGGTAACTTCTGCAGTCATTTGTACTTTAAATAGTATGTATGGGAAACAAGGCAGCTGCTTTGCTGTTCTTTTATTATAAGGTGTAACTGATACTGTCTTTCTGGTTTCTGGTGAATAATTGACGTGATTAATTGTTCTCAAATTTCCAGCTATCTAGTATCAATAGGAATTTTTCCAAACCCAGTTTTGAATATATATTATATGACAAAAATAATAAGTACATTATTTCAACAGGTTCACTATCAACTTGTGTAGTTTTTATCTCTCACAATGATTTTCCTAAAAGTTACCATGATGCTTTAGAAAATTTTACTTCAAGGAGGGGCGCCTGGGTGGCTCAGTTGGTTAAGCGACTGCCTTCGGCTCAGGTCATGATCCTGGAGTCCCAGGATCGAGTCCCGCATCGGGCT